ATATTTGTTAATATATATGATCTTATAGGTTCATATATGCTTATTGATTATTTATTAGAGTAATTAGATTATTAATGAATATATAATCAACATATTTAATTGGAAAAATAATTATTTTATGAGAATAATATTTTAACAAGTAATTTAGGAAATGATAATAAAAGAGATAAAAAACTAGTTATATTCAGAAGGTATAGTTGCTTCTTGTAACACTCGTTTTTATGGAATTGATAAGATGAAGATTTGGGACTTCAAAGATAAGGTTTTGAGGAAAGACCTGATGCCACGACGTGACACGTATCTGGCCACGACGTGCTCATGTCATTTAAATGAGGATCGAAGCTGGCTGGGAACCACGACTTGGCAAGAGGGTGACCATAACATGGAGCTCTGGAATGTATAAAGCTTCCACCTTTAACATTCTTGTTTCTCATTTCATGATTTAAGGTGCTTTTTAATCCTTTGAAAGGATGTTCTTGGAATTTTGAGCAACTCTAGAACCTTAGACTTGCTTGGAGACCATTTTTTTGCTTAATCTGATGGAAAAGTGTTAGCTCATGGTTCCTTTCGAACTATGCACATGTTTTGGTCATATTAAGGGTTTAATGGACATAGGGTTCTTGATCTTGTATTGTGGTGACGTTTTAACGGGTAAAGTTGGAAATTATATCCATTAAGTCACTGAAAAAGGACAAGATATAAATTTTTAGGCTTTGATCTGTAAGGATTAAGCTCTTAATGAAGAAAAGAGCATTCTGTCAGAAACCACAACGTAACCATGGAAGGCCCACGACGTGGTGGTTCTCTGCATTGTGACTGTTTTTTCCTGACTTGCCACGACATGGTGACCTTTGACTTTCGTCGACCGTTGACCTTTGACTTTTGACCGTTGACCTGTGACTTTTGACCAATTTGACCTTTGACTTTTGACTGTTGACCGTTGACCTTTATTTGGTGATACTCAGTTTGCGGGATTGATCAGTTCAACCAAGTGAGAGTGTTGTTGTGTTCCTCCGGTCATGTGCTTCGGTGAGTTTTCTCAGTATGCCACGTATGACATTATATACCATATGTATGCTAGGATAGTGGTATTGATATATTGATGAGTTGAAAACTCTATAGATCGATTAGATCTTTAACAGGTAAATCAATAAGACTAACAAACTCTTGAACACACAATGAATCAAACGTATGTCGAATGATCAAAATATAGTTACACCTCAGAAGAGCTCGATTAAGAACTTCTACTGTAGAGGTGTGCTAGGGTTTACAGTACAATCAATACAATAATGATGAAAGCGTTAATGACAAGGATGCATGCATGCACCTTATATACTAAACCCTAGAAAGATGAACACGGTTGGACATGCCCAAACCCGTGACAAAACTGGACTATACAACAGAGCCCAATGACACAACACTTAAGGTCTCAACAATCTCCCCCTTTGCGTCATTTGAGGCGAGACTTCACTTCTGCTGAGCAAGAGAGGTTCGCTTCATAACTTTGAACAGCTTCGGTATAATGGCAAGTAATGTTTGGCGAAAATTGATATACCATCGAAGCATATCTGAAAAATACTTCTTGTCAGCCTCACTATTCTGCTTGCCCCTGTGAATGATGTCGAGAATGTGCTCCAAACAGATTGTAGAGAAAATGTGCTTGTCATCGAGAGCAAACAGACATTTTTGCCATTCGCCTCGTGTAAACATCATAGTGTTGAACTTTGGATCAATCTTTCCCATCTTCATTATGTTGATGTCACTCGACTTCCCTATAGGTTTGATCGTTGGCTTCTTTCTGAGGACAGTAGCAATTTCTTGATCCATCTTCACTACTTCGTGAATGTAGAAAACCAACATTCTCTTGATGTGATTCAATGATAGGCTCACACTCTTCCGAATTGGTGAGTAGAATGTTTTTCAGCAAGATCCAATCATGAGGGTTTAGGTTCGGTAGGTCAGCAAGAGAAATAATATGCTCCGAGTTAGCAGAACCTCGAGTCACTTTGAACTTTGTGTTAATAAACTTTCCTGCTGCAGTAGGCTTCAACACTCTGACAGTAGTGATCTTCTGGGCACTCCATGTCTGGTATTGAGGCTGAGCGAAGGCGAGATAGAAATCAATTAAGTCTCTATAAACCTTCGGATCAGGAGAGGGAATCTCAGCAATGGGTTGAAAGCAATGGAAGACAAACGCTTTTCAGGTTATCGGCATATCAAACTGTGAATCCTTTGAATTCACACAGTTTAGGGAAACAACCGATTCAAGCCAATGAGTGCTTGGAGAATCAATCGCTTCCTTGAGAAGCTTCTCCAATGACCATAGATGAAAAAGAGTTTTTTGGCTTTCCAGCAGGTCGTGAGCCTCTTTCATTTTTCTCTCTTTTTCTTCAGCTTCCCTCGCTGCTCTAGCATTTTCATCTAATTCCCGGTCACGTTTCTTCCTTTTCAGAGTGTCAGCAATAGTTTCTTCTTCTTCATCACTATTCTCGACATAACCTTTATCTTTGTCCTGCACACTAGAACCCGAAGCTACATTACCCTTCGGTCCAGTGTTGAGTTTCGGTTGTTGAGGTTCGCTTGTTGGAGGTGGTTGAGATTTGCTCTGATTTCCTTCTCCGCCTTGTTTCGGAGGGACAATCGTCTCCGAAACACCCTCTATTCTGCTTAAATTTCAAGAGCAGGACCAAGCTTTTTAGTGAGATGCCGCCTGACCGAGAGAGTGAGAACCGAATCATGGGCTTCCAAAACGTTATGAGAAGAGCATGAACATCACTCACATAGCTCTTTACAACAGCCCGCTCAGACCGAAGGTACTCAAGTTCCTTGTTTGCCTGATTGAGTTGCAAGGACATAGTTTTAACTTGAGTAGTCTTGAGTGCCAGTTCATCCATGATTTTCCTTTCGAGTGCCAGTTCCTCCTGAAGCTTGGCAAGACGAGTATTGATAGAGGACTGCAGGTTAGCATTGTCAGCTTGAATGCTTTGGCGCATGGAGGCGAAGTGTTGCTTTTCAGCTTGAAGTGAAGAGGCAAGCGATTCAACGGTGGCGTTGGCAGTTGCAGCATTTTTCTGAGCAGCAGCCTGTAAGGAATCAAGGAAAAGATTAGCATCAGAAATTAGTTTTTCGACTTTTTCGGTCGCTTCCTTGCAGACTTTGGTAGATGAATCAATTGCTGATGTTGCTTTGGAGATGGAGGCTTCGTGCTCTTTGATGAAGGAAGCCATCATGGTTTTCACAGCAGCCTCAAAGAATGAATCCTGGGAAGATGAAGATGAGGCCATAAGCTTATCAAGCTTTTCATTCAGTTCCTTAATGTGCCTCTTTGTGATAAGGGCACCATCATCGTCATCACTCTGTACTCTGTAGGGACTATAGTAGGAGTCATAATCGATGCCATCTTCCCCAAGAACGGTGTTGGTTTTAGTTGATTGAGTAGGAGAAAGAGGTTTAGAGGTAACTGGGGTTTCAGTAGTTTTGGTAGAGGTGGTGGTAGCTTCAGAAAAAATGGGAGTTGGAATGGGAATGGTTGATGTGGGTTGGGATGTGATAACAGGTGATATTGGAGGAATGGATATTGGGATTGAGATAGGTGGAGGAGAGGATGGGTTGGAGCGAACTGGTACCTCATGTGTAGGCGAAGGAGGAGGAGTGCCTCCTCGGACCGAACACTCATCCTCTGAGTCTTCGCTTTTGCTTTTGCTTTCGCTTTCGCTTTCGCTTGGAGGATGAATGGGTAGATGACCAGTAGGAACATAGTCTGAGTCACTTGTTGAAGGACTTCTGGGTTTCTTAGCCATCTTCTTGACCTTTTTCTTCTTCGGCTGAGATGGAGCTGCTTTCTCTAGCTTTCGCTTCTTTGGAGTTGCAGCTTTTGAAGAAGGACCCTCCTTGTCACCTTTCTTAGGGTCATAATTTTTACCCCTCTTGGATGGTCTGTCAGCATCTTCTATCGAATGTATCATCTCAGGAGTTAAATCCCTTGGACCAGAAGAGGGTAATTGCTGGTACTCTTGAATAATCTGACTCTCGTCTGAAACACACCGATACATCGAGGCAGGAATGGATCCGTTGAAAGAAAACTTGGTTGGATCAGTGACGATTATCTTTGTGGTGTGAAAAGTGGCGATTGAAGAGAGCAAAGAATCTGCCATAATGGGAATGTGGAATTTGTCCATTGCCCAGTACGTGACAACAGTCCAAAATCTCCCACAAGAGATTTCAGAGTAGCGTAAGGCGGAGTTGAGACTTTGCACCAGTTGAGTCCAAAGAATGGACCCATAGTGTAGGTTAATACCAGTGTAGAGACCATAGAGGATGGTCATGAAGGATTTGCTCCGATAAACTGAAGGACCCTGGAAATGGTTTGGTCTAGGCTTTCATTGTTTTTTTGTGTTCAGAATGAGTCTGTTATAGTGTTTACGGGTTGTTTGTTGTTTGTTGAACTTTTTGTGTG